CTGCCAAAAGCTTTCAGACTGTATAATTCTCACAGCAATTTATTTGATGCTATAATGATTGACTCTCAGTCCATAGTCTGCATTATCATCCAGAGCTGATGGCACATAATGACCATCTTGACAGCTTAGTGAAAGGGAGGCCTTGTGTTTAAAAACAAATTTGTGTCCCACCCATGGTGTAATCCGGCCAGGGCCCCTCCCCCCAGGCACGGCCATCAGCGGACAGGAGAAATGTGACACCATTGTCAGCGTTATCAGTGATCAGCTAGGGACATTTATGTACCAGCTCATTAATCTACTTATAAGGATCAAGACTCAAGTGGCAAATTTTCTTCTCAGTGATTAATAAAAGCTAGCAGTTTGACAGTTTCTCAAAAAGGCAGCAGTTTTCCAGATTCTTAGAAATATTTTTGTTAAAATTTATACATTAATTTTCATAACGTAGAAAGTGTAAGTACAATGCACTTATGGGGCAGAAACAAAAATATGTAGGAAATGACCTGAGATGATTATAAAAAGAAAATTAATGCTGACTTATATTTTGATAAATGAGTCCCTTAAAAAGTTAATGAATGCATGCATCGTCACATGCATTTTTAGCTGGTCATATATTTTAACAGCTGTCCATGAATGAGTTTTTTTCTCATCAGTTAGGAATTTTTTAAGATGATTATGACAGCTATAGTGTGTGTTGGTGGAAATGAGCTTAAAATTTGACATTATAAAACCTGCATTGTGTCTACGTCTTAAGTGTGTACATCATCCTTATTTAGCAAGAAGACTAGCGTATCCCCCCTCCAATCCCTTAATTAGATGCACTGACATGGAGAGTATCAAGATGTCTTTTCATTCATCTGTCAAATTTTTTTCTTGAATGTGGTTTATGAGGAGATAAGTTTGGCTGGAGTGTCCTGTGCGGTTTTGTGGGTGAATGAATCGGGAGATGTATCGTGTGGTACATTACCGGTCCTAAACACACATACCTGTGTGAATTAATTGTCCAGATTCTTCACATTTGAGGGGGGACTAGAGATATCAGGTTCTGATCTCTGTCCTTTCAATGACTTTGTCTACATTTTAAGGAAAGGTCCTTTATAGGGGGAATAATTATATCTCTCTTTGGTGAAGTTCTTAGTTTGTAATACCAGTTGGACAAGTGACATTAGTTTTATTTCTTCCTCTCTCTCTCTCTCTCTCTCTCCTCTCAGACAAGCAGTAGTAGTTTTCTTTCTCCCCTCTCTCTTTCTCTTTTCTCTCTCTCAGCCAGACAAGCAACAGTAATTTTATGCCCCCTTTCTTTCTCTTGATTATAATTTTATTTTTAAGGTGAACACCCAGTTGACAAAAGATTTTGCTAGGGTCACTCATAAGAGATTGGCCCTCTGAAGCTGACAAATTTTTGGGGGGCCAGACTTGACCAGGGTTAGTAAGCATGTAAACAGTCAATTTCTGTAATTCCTGTCCGTGATTTATTGACAGGGGGAGGAATAACATTGGGAGCCATGGTCCTCTTAATGCTTGTAATGTTGTATCATATCATCATAATGGCCAAACACTACAAAGATATCGCTACTGTGGTCGGTAGAAACATGATTACCAACATTTGTACCTGGGTGACCGTTTCCCCATTAATCACCTCGCTAATGGTTTTAACACCTATCGGGGCCCATTTCTGGCGTAAGACTTTCTTCGTTTTACATGCATTGATAGACTCTGAGACAGATCTCATGTTACTTGTACAAACAACCCTATAGACATATGATAAAAGAGAATTAACATGATTAGTATAGGGATGATAATCTGGTTAGTCTACCCCTTACTCTGAATCTTCCTTAATTTAATATGCAACATTTTTTGGGAGAACAATATATTCAGGTTTTTATTCATTTTAACACCTTAAGTTTTCTACACTGATAGAAAGCATTACGATTCATGACTTGGAATTTAATGCACATGTTGACAATGAAGAATTAAGTGACAGTGCATACATTTCCTGATTTTGGTTTAAATGTAAAACAGGCTAATTTTGAGAGGTGTGAATCCATGTTATAAAGTTCTCTGTTATGAGACACCTTGGGTCATTTGGTGTGTGGTTTGTGGGTCGATGGGGAGGTGCATTTGACAATCACTAAACTCGAGGGCTTGACATTTACCTTTTCTACCATGTGCTAGAGATGACAAAATGCACTGTTTAAATTCCAGATCAATTTCATCGGTTTACCACCCAAACTCGATAGCCAAATTGATTTCAACTTATTGCTTATATCAGTCAAGTACGTACAGTTGCATGCAGAACTTGGTGCTATTTTGTAATTTGGTAAGATACAAGTAGATTGGTTTATGGTTGAGGACTTCTGGCAAAATATTAAGATACCCGATCCATTTTAATTTTTTAAAGGGCTGGCCATACATGGAGTCGTCTTCCATTAAGAGAAGATTAATTACGGGAATGTTTAATGTCAGGTTTTTTTTGGCTAAGAGCTGTAATAACATTCCATGTCGATGTTTGCAAGTCAGTTGACATCTCCATTCATGTCCGCTGACTTGAAAAAATGTAACATGCTCCCCAAGACTCATCGCGCGAGAATGTAAAAGGTCCCCTCTTCAATGTCAAGCCGAGAAAAGAAACACCCAGCGATATTGTCTCTCGTACACCCCGAGGAAATGCCCTTGTGTACGGACGATAATACATTATTCTTTAAAAGAAGTTAACTATGCTGAAAACAATCATCGCTATCTAAAAGCCATGCATTGTTAATTGAAGTTTAATCAGATCTAAAAGATCGCAAGATAAAATGATAACCATCATAGAAAAAAAAATTGTACTCTTCCCTGCTCTGTATTGGTGGTCAACCAATTTTATTCTCATCGGGAGAGAATATCAATGCTGATCAGAGGCAGGTGGAAAAAGAGACTTTGCCCATTTCAGGGTGATAGAAAAAGTGAAATCAGAAGTACAGGGTTTAGAACAGAAGAGATATTGTGCAGTAAGCTGATCAAAGCAACAGATCGCTTGACAGATAACCATTTAACACACTGAATCTTCGCTCATTTGATCTATTGGACTTATGAATGAAGACCTCTTTACAAAGTCATCAAATGAGAAAATTTCTCAGGCTGCCCGATAATATCTGCAATTAATGAAGAATGGTTAAAACACTTGTTCAAACACTTTGCTCATTTGTAATTACCCTAGCTCACTGTGTCAGGTGCTGGTTTAGCGTTAGTTTATGATAGATAATGGTAATGATATAGCTTCTGAAGGCATTCACTGTATCAACTTGGGAGTCGAATTCAAAGTTTGTAACTTGTTGGGATCTCTAAGACACACACTGTGTTAATTAATGTTAAATTGGGGAAAAAATCAGATAAAAACTAATTAGACTGTGTTCAATCAAGATTGTAGTCCAAGAAGATTCTTAAAGTCAAGTTTATGATGAAAGTCTTAGGACTTGATTTATTTTACACTAGCTAGACTGTTAGTGCATGTAAACTAAATCAATTTTAATGTTAAGGAGTTTGAGGTGCAATAAAAGTAGCATAAAAAAAGAAAAGATAGTAAAAAAAAAAGGTATGAAAATCATACTGGGTTGTTGCTGCAATTTTATTCTGGTAAAATGAGTTTGATGACATTTTTACTACTTTTTTCTTGGAGATCAGGATTTATGAGGAGGAAAAATTGATCATTGTTAGATTGTTTATTTATTGCAGGTTTAAAAGGTTTCTAAATTATATCATTTTCGTGGGCAGGCCAGCTAAGGAATCTCAAAGCAGGAGAATTAAAACTTCGCTGTGGATATAAAGGAAATTTTTTGTTTCTTGGTGAATAATACTCTAATTAAAATGCAAATGGCCAAATGTACCTCTGAACACAAAGTGTATATACGCATTGTATACAGAAATACTCTGCTTGAATGCTTGACCAAAACTTGAACTCGGATAAACCCAGCTATTGAATCGGGCATGTTTCTACCCTCAAAACAAACACAAGCAAACTCATTATAAAATGAGAAACACAAGAAATTCAAGATTTTATGATAAATTCGAGATAGGCTTGAACATGGAGCACCTTTCATCTCATCCAGTATGAGTTGAGCAGTGTAGTGATTTTTCTGTGAAGTTGGGGTATTTTTTGGTTAGGAATGACTGTAGCTAGGATACAGGACTCGAGAGCAAGCACCCAGGCCTTCCCACAAGTGTTTACTCGGGTTTACTTGCCGATTGCCGTTCAATGAACACGTCTCCAAAATCGGACATTTATTTTCATTTGATTTGTCTTTTTAAAGACCATATAAGCACCTCCGAAGAACTTTATCTACAAAATCAACCCTTCGAAAAAAAGTTGATGTCAGATTTTTCTTCTCTGTAATGTGTAGAGGGATATTGAGTTAGTTTTAAAATGCCCATTTGATTTTGTTGGACTTGAAATCAGTAAAATCTCGAGACTTTAAGAATGCGAAATATTTTTCAATTGACTTGTGAAAAAATGGGTTAAAATCTATTTTCTATTTATGCAGAAAATTGAGGTCATATTCTATAAATTGAGATGTTTAATGGATGAAAAAGGGGACCCCAACAAACACCTGTACAATTTCATTACTTAAGATCGTTAAAGGCTGATATTTTTGTGTATTGGGGCAATGCAGGTGTGACTTAGGTATATAGAGACATTATTAAGTTCAAAGTATACCCACTAATGTATGTGTGTTTTTGAAGAACATGATTTTCCAATTGTTATCAAATGTTACATCTGTATTAACTGAGAAAAACACCAACAAAGACTAGCTTGCTTCATGGGGTGGCCTGCAGTTCATTTGATACATTATGAAACAGGTGTGCTAATATGAGCAAATGTTTTTACATAAAATAAATGTTTTTGTGTCTTCCATATTTCCTAGTATATTACTTTAGCCTATCTCAATATTACAGAGAACTGTGGTTATTGTCTATGAAGCCATATGATTAATGCTAGTAGTATATATCGTTTTTCCTTTTTGTAGAGACCTGAGTTACAATAAGCTGAAAGTGATTGGAAAAAAGACCTTGTCGGGATCCACTGTGCTGCGTAATTTGTACGTATTTCATTACGGTCATTTGAATATACGCACAATCTGCAGGCTTGTCCTCTATTTTATGTGTATAACCCTTGCATATCTAGAGTTTAAACATAGACCCACATATTTGTATGGGAAAATTACCAATCATAACAAAATATTGGTAATATCGATAACATTTAAGCAGCAATAAAAATTATTTTGAAGTACAATTCTGTTAAAAATTGAAACTAGTTTCTTGATGACCCAGGGGACCTAGCATAATCATGTGGAGCATGCCATAATTATCAACATTCTATCATGATATCGTATTATGGTACCATCCTGGTTTTGAATTTTATATATATAGAATTTCATTGATTAATATTTTATGGTTATAATACATTTTAGACCAAGTGCATGTAACAATGCCTTGAAAGCAGGCAGGTGATTTAATAATTAGTTTAAGGAAATGAGATCATAATATGATGGTGATTCAGATCACATGTCTTCTGGGAAAAAAAAATAAAATCCGAATATGATAGAATGCTGTAATTTGTATAACTTGAATCACTCAGAAGCAATTCAATGAGACTTTTTTTTACAACATTTTTTGTTGAAGATGACACATTGCATGTTCATTAAAACCACACAATTATGATTATCATTAAAATCACTAAATTTCTAAATGCATGAACAGGATTTTTTTTAACTGTTAGAGTCAAGCAGCCCTTTTGTTTTGTTCACGTCTTAATGAATTTATAATCGTGCAACTCTTGTTTTTAACCAGAAAAAAAGTTTTTTTTAAAATGTGCAAATTTCAAACTGTTACAATTTAAACAAACCCATGAGAGAGACTTGTAATTCACACTAACATTAAGAAAACTGTACTGATAACTTAAAATTGACATTAAACTCTAAGCTTCAATTTCTGATACAATAAAAAATTTTAGAAGTACGTTGTATGCATGTTTTACCAGAAGATGAATCATCTAAATATGAAATACAATAGTGCAAATTACTCACTATATAACAGAACAAAAGTCTGCATATGAAAAAATACTAGTAACTTATGTATTCCTTTATGTCAATGGGTGTATTCCCTATCACCCCATTTAATCTTCAGAATATGGTAGTTAGCATTACATAATGCAAAAGAAGATAATGTATCTGATTCAGTAGATATTCTCAAACTGCAACAATATCATATCTGTCTGTAAGGCAGTGAGGTTCTGGCCTTGTTTAATATTCCATTGTGTATAAACCCTCAAGTTATCTGACAATCTGTTTGACAAATTTTCTAGACCAATTATTTTGTGAAGTGTTGACAATGGTGAAGTTTTTCCCAGCGGTGAATAAAAAGCTGTTTTCTCATCTTACGTGATCAGCTGGTTGAATAGAGTCATAATTTTTTGTCATATTTGCTTATGACACACAAACATTGGCTTGAAGAGGTATTCAGATTAAACTTATTTAAACACTTGTAATTGTAAACATTGCGATTGAAATATTTTTCCGACTCCCATATCAAGTCTGACTGGCATGCTTTGAATTTGTTTCTTTCCATTTTTTCCTCAAAATTGGACCAGACACCCCACCCCAAATTACAAAGTTTTATATTGAGTTTTCTTTTGTATATTCATTCAACTGCAAAGATTATTATGAACTTTGTGTCTAGAATAGCTGTGAGAAATCAAAGAATGTTTTCTTAAAGTGAAAAAACTTTTCCTCCCTGCATTGTCGGAACATGGAGTGTTCACGTAATATAATTTGTAAAGGTCTGAGTAAACTGAAAACGTTTCACAATGGGCATCTTGTTTGATAGTGCATATTTAGAAACCTCTTTAGGCCTAGTTTACATCATAAAATTTATTTTGTCAATGAAAATTTTAAAAAGTGGGTGAGGACACTTTATTCAATGTAAAAAAATTGGTGAATTGTTGGATTAGGAGGCCATGCATAAAGTGCACTTGGGTTATTGTGTGTATTTCTAACTCATTTTCTTTAGCAAATGCATAAAGTGCACTTGGGTTATTTGTATTCTTGAAAGTGGGTATGTGCCAGAAAATTAAATTCTAACTCATTTGGGGGGGGGAGCTATTCTAGCATATAGAGGAGAGAAGGGTTACAATTTATGGGAAATTTCTACACTCTTACAGTACTTTCAAAATCTGTTGGTATACCCTTTACTTTTATTGGCTTAAATCAAAATTGTACAGGCAAAAAAATCATTAACCTTGAAAATGCTTCTTCTAGGTACCTCATATTTTGAATAAGTTAACACCTGTTTGAAATCTTTTGTGAAAGACTTGTTAATATACATCTATTTATTAAGTCCCTCACCTTAATAAGGTCAATCATAATTTTTTAATATGGGCAAATCATGATATGCATACATATATGTTTAGCCCTAATTAATATAAAAACCATTTCTTCTCCCATTCTAACCAAAAAAAATGTCTTAGAGAAAGAAGATAAATATTGGGTAGGAATTTGATAGGGTATGTTATTGTTGAGATGAGACTAATGGGTGTTCTATTTCCAGACAACTGGACCACAACGAACTCGAGTGTGTATCAGAGACAGCGCTTAAACCACTTCACAACATGGAGATCTTGTAAGAAACACACACAGTTGTTGACAGTCTGTCAAATGTATATCTGACAGTGACTGAGGCAGATAATCTCTTTATTGCAATTGGAAAAAAAAGTGAAAATTTTCGGAGAGAAAAATAAATGCCTCGGGTTCAGAAGAAAAAAAATAGCAAATTTTTAAGTTAAAGTGAAAATGGTGAATGATGTTATCAGAGCATCCAGTCAATAAACTTTTTATGAGGGTAGAAAATAAATAAGCAACTGATTGCAATCGGTGATATTTTAATTGAGAAATCTTTTATTTTCGTTTTACAGGACCCTGAACTACAACAAGCTGACGTCCCTACCCAAGAACCTATTTGACAACATGAACAGTCTCCGGACACTGTAGGTGCCAGATTGCTCCCGCCCTGGTCAATGTTTTATAAAACAGAGATTAGGCCCAACTAGGCTAGCTTCTGAAGACCTGATAAAAAAATTTCCCAGATTCTTGATAAAATACTTGAGAGATTAAAGAATTCCCTGCATGTCTCGGCCTTAATGGAAGATAATTATTGTTGTACCAAGTCATCTCTTTCTTTCTGTCTGGGATGATAAATGAGCAGTTTGGGTTTTTTGGGAAAAGGAAATGTCCTCTTGTTGTAGAATGAAGGTTAAAGCCAACACATTTATTGTTAGAAATATCACCCTAATGCTAATATGTGTATGAGATTATGCAATTTCTATTCAGCAAAGGACATCATTGGTAGCTAGCTAGAATTCTTATTGTCAAAAATTGCAAAAGATTACCTACTGACCTCAATTCTTGACAAAAGTGCAACATAGTAATTTTGTCCTCTAAACATTTCAATCAAGTGTGCAAAGTAAAGGGTGGGGGTATCATCTCAAAAGATAATTTTTCAATTTTATATTTGATTAAAGAGGGAAGTTTATGACACAATTTTTGTAAATTTTAAAACTGTAGGAGAGGGATATTTGAAGATTATAATTAAAAAATATTATTTGAATGCAGAGGGAAGTTTGTGACACAACTTTTATGAATTTAAAATTGATTTAGAGGGATGTTTGAAATTTTTATAAATTCATTTCAAATCATGAAACAGTTTTTATGAATTAAATTGTAGGAGACTGATAGATAACAAGTTTGTATGTGACTGTCACTTGGCCTGGCTGTCCCAGTGGTTGAAGCAGAACCCCAGTCTGGGTCTGTACACAGAGTGCTCCGCCCCACCCAACCTACAGGACATAGAGGTAGACGAGGTCCATCCCTTCAGCTTCCAGTGTCCAGCAGGTGAGACAAACCAGTCTCTGTCTCTTAAAATCAAGAATTAAAACCTTCTACGATAAAGTTTTTTAAAGTTCAGGCACTACCAATTCCATAGAAATTGGCCAGATTAGACAACATTGCGGATTAGGCAATTACACATTTTCAACAATCCAATTTGCCGAAAGTTAACACCCTGTTTGGCAGGATTCTGGAATACACAATATCTCTATTAGATAAGCTTCACTGTACATGTATTGATGCAAAAAAAAGCTGTATGAAATCTTTAGGGCTTAAAGGGGGAGCATTTGTCTAGCATATTGACTTGACAGAAGTGTTGACTTAATTAAGGTGTGATACTGTTGAATTACATATTTTCGTGGGGTCAAATTTTCCAGGTTTAAAGAAAAAATCATTTTTTTTTAGGGATTTCATTTCGTGGTTGAAAAATGTTAACTAGTACATGTAATGCATATGAAATTTTACATTTTTGTGGTGGACATGAATTTATGTTTCTCTCCACAATTGGAAAAATATGAATTAATTTTTAGAATTAAAATAAAACCCCCAAGAAAATTTGTCATTTCACAGTAGTGTTGATTAATCTTTAATTTTCTATTATTTTTGGACACGAAGGTCAGGACACCACACAACACAGGGACAGGTGCTCCTCCGTGGCTTCCTGTCCCAAAAAGTGCCGCTGTAACAACGGGGTGGTGGACTGTCGCGGCGCCGGACTTACAGAGTTCCCCTCCTTATTTCCTGACGATGTCACTGAAATGTAAGTAGAATGTTGCATCATCAGCCAAGTTGTTAAGTACTGTAGATTGGCAATTAATCATGATGGTTTTAATTTCATTATGTTAGGGAATTGACATTTTTCCATGAAATTTAACCCATTTTTAATGCTATCTTTGCTTTTTAAATATGTTTAACTGGGTATATGAAATTAAAAATAAGTTCATGTAGCATATGAAATTAAAACCATTGCCATGGGTACTTTTTAAGAAATCGTGAAATTTTAACATCTTGGCATGAAAACGACTTACAGTATTTGTTTAAAAAATTGAGTTAAGTTGTAAAGTATTTGTTAATTTTTCCCCCCTGAAAACCCTTTCTTTTCTCATTAATATTCAGGTAATTCTTGTTGTCACTTTCAGTTAATTTTTCAGGGGAAAATTCAAAATTATACTGGCCTTTTCATTCACTTAATTTGTTGTGGGAAACCAAAAACCACAAGCCTGGTATTAAATTTCAGTGAAAATAATTCTCAGTGATTGAATATTTGTTATCTTCATTGCGTATAAAAAATTTGTTTTGACAGCCGCTTGGAGCAAAATCACATTGTTGTAGTCCCCTCCCGAGCCTTCGCCGATCTGAAGAAACTCCGGAGAATGTAAGTATAAGGTAGTGTAAACAAAGCTTAGCTATCTCTACGCCAAGTATAACAAGAAGAGGAGGTGTCAGACCCCCCTACCAAACATCCTCACCAACTGTTTTAGAGACCGCTAGATAAACCATACCTTGTCACAGGAAGAGGAAAACAATTAAAAAAGCATGATCAAAAAGATTAATCAATCTGCAATTTCCCCCCACATGCTGTTTTGGGGAGGATCAGATGACTTTGTGCGTGGGGTCTTGATGGAGGGGGTTGCTTCACCTGTTATTAATGTCATTCGTACTCCATATTTTGCAGCAGCTCACCACCTCTCCTTTTACTGCACAGATGTTTTTTGACCCTAGTTAAATGTCATGGCATACCTTTTTAGATGCTTTGTCACAATGTATTTAGAATTTCATAAATGGCACATGGAACAAATTAGGCTTGTTGATGGGTAAATTTATGCTATTGATGATCTCTGGGTGGACATTTTTTATGGTGAAAGAGTGCAAGAACAAAAATGGAGGTTGACAATTTCTATTATTGACATATTTTAAAAACAAAGACAAAACTGTACAGTATTTTTGACTTTTTCCCCTTGTAGAAATTTGAGCAACAACAAAATTGCAGAGATTGCCGCAGATGCTTTCAGTGGACTGACTTCACTTAATTCTCTGTGAGTATACCAATAATATTGATGAAAACAAAATTTTTTTTTTCTACTAGAGTTTCTCAAGTCAATTGTAGATTGCTTTCATCGGAAAATACTGTTGATCGTGTGAAATTTTCATGATACTTGACCTGATAATAGTCCCCAAGAAACAAAAAAATAATAAAGAGATGGGTTTACTTAGATAATTACTTGTAACCATAGGATGAATTTCTTGTTCACACAGGGTACTTTATGGGAACAAGATAAGCGACCTGCCTACTGGATTGCTCAAGGGCCTATCATCTCTACAATTACTGTAAGTACGCAGGCTCAAGGGCCTATCATCTCTACAATTACTGTAAGTACGCAGGCTCAAGGGCGTATCATCTCTACAATTACTGTAAGTACGAAAGGCTCAAGGGCTTATCATCTCTACAATTACTGTAAGTATGAAAGGCTCAAGGGCCTATCATCTCTACAATTACTGTAAGTACGCAGGCTCAAGGGCCTATCATCTCTACAATTACTGTAAGTATGAAAGGCTCAAGGGCCTATCATCTCTACAATTACTGTAAGTATGCAGGCTCAAGGGCCTATCATCTCTTCAATTACTGTAAGTATGAAGGCTCAATACCTATCATCTACAATTACTGTAAGTATGCAGGCTCAAAACCTATCATCTCTACAATTACTGTAAGTATGTAGGCTCAAAACCTATCATCTCTACAATTACTGTAAGTATGCAGGCTCAAGGGCCTATCATCTCTACAATTACTGTAAGTATGTAGGCTCAAAACCTATCATCTCTATAATTACTGTAAGTATGTAGGCTCAAAACCTATCATTTCTACAATTACTGTAAGTATGTAGGCTCAAAACAGCACTTTATTTCTTCAAGCCCTTTTCAAATTGGGGTTTTTTTTTTGGTGTATGTTGTGAAATTGAAAATGGTATCGACAGTGACATGGCTCTGGTGAGATAATCAGAATATTTTTTGTGCCGGTGATGATGACAAGTTTCTGGACTTGTCTTTTTGTGGTTGACATCATAATGCAACTGCAGACATTTAATTAACATATGAAGGTGACTTCATTCATTAACCCCCTGTAGAATTGTTGGTGAACTTTTTTTTGTAACCATGTGACAATGAGTCATTTTGTAATTAGTGGAAAACAATTAGTTTTAAGATGAACTTTTGAAACATTAAGATTAGTAAGAGGAAGTATAAATATAAGGATAATTATAAAGATTTTTATTTGTTGAAATTTTTTTAACAGGAAAAATTTAAATAAAAGATGACGAATCTTATTGTTTATGGTCGAGAAAATAATGTGTTTTATAACCTCCTTTAGAAAAATTATTAAAACCTTTAAAAAACTTAATGTGTTTTTGCTTTTAGTTATAGCTGAATAATTAAGTTTTACATTGAGAAGAAACATGTCTCTGTTGAAAATTTAATCAACTGTGCATTCAAAGAAATAAACTTAAATGCAGATCATCAAAGTTAGGATGTAAAGGAAGGATTTTCGTGAATACAACATTCTGTTTTAGATAGCCTGTTTGATGTTCCACAAACCTTCTCTGGGACACATCAAATTGATTGATATCCTACTGTTAGAGATATACCATTAGAAGATCTAGTATAGCAGTTAATTAGTCACATACTTTTAAACCTGGAATGAATTTGAAAAATTTAAATTATGCAGGGAAACTTTTAAAAGTGAGATGTTCCTGATTTAGGGCTTAATTAAATGACCTGCTTAGATATACTTGCTTTTGTAGATAAGAAAAAACTTTCACCTTGTTATTTGTACATTGTGAGAAGTTCTGCACGGAGCATTCATTAAATACCTATGTCATTTTTTTCCTACTCTCACCAGACTACAGAAATATTTCAATATTCTCAATCTCATTGCTCTCTTTTCAGCTTGCTAAATGCAAACCAGATAAAGTGTATACGAGTAGATGCATTCCAAGACCTCGCCAGTCTCAACCTTTTGTGAGTATCGCCCCGCCCCCTTTCTATATCACCGACCCATTCAGTGTGAAAAAACAAATTGATAGCGGATTAGGAGACGAAATTGATTAAAAAGTCCTTCATCTGAGTTTAGCAAAGGGCATAAGATAGTTATTTACGTAATGTTTACATTTGTTTAAGATGTAGTAGCTGATAGGGAGAGAAATGTGTGGCTTGGAACATTGTTGATAACATTCTGAATTTTAGACGTGTTAAAATTAACGAGTCTTTTCCACATAAATCTGTGCATTGTACGTGCACTGCTAGGTTGCATGTGCAGAAATCTGATTAGCAACTGCATAAAAGAAGGAGAAACTAAAGTAAAGATTTGAGTGACATTTGTGTTTAAGTCTTATTTTGTAAAGAGAGATTTTTATCTTGCTTGACATGCTATTGGCTGGTGTTTCAATTATAGGCTGCAGTTTAAGGTGTCTTGTTTGGTCATAGCTTTAAAATTTGATCATAATTTAAAAAAATGTTTGATTTATCCAATAAATGTGAAGTAAAGGTATTGATGGGATTTATATTTTATTATAACTACTTTAGTTCATAAGTGTAGTGTTGATATTTGAATTTTAAATAGTTTTTGTTCCATTTTGCAATATTAATGCAAATGATACTGTGATGTCACAGGAAAACCGAGAAGCCTTAATGAATTAAAACATGTACTTAATTTTTGAAAAGGTAATGTTGACTAAAATTATAATTGATTTTAAATAATGTGAAAAATTAACACAATGTAAACATGTTTTGCACATTTTTTTGAGCAGTTTCATGCTTTTATGGTAAAAACCTTAATATTTTCTTTTTTTAAAAGTTGGAAAATTCAAGAACATATAATTCAATTGTGAAGCTTGTGTTTATTGGCAAGACTTTAAATTTATGTGTAACAGTATTTACTTAGCATTAAGAATGTAATTTTCGGCTTTTAAGATATTGGTTTTAAGTTCTTATCTGCACATTTTAAGCTTTGAATTATCAGAATATGGATAAGAGTGCAAACATTTACCACTTTACATTTAAGTATTCTTTTTTAACAGGTCTCTCTACGACAATAAAATTCAGTCCTTAGCTAACGGAACATTTGCCCCACTGAAAAATATCAAGAATTTGTAAGTATATATTCACATTAAATATACATATAATCTGCATAGTGTCATAAGAAATAAATTAACCTGGTATTATCTCCAGGATCAGTTAATGCATTACACTGTCTTGACATTAAATATGTTATAATTGATATCTCCTATTTGTTTGATGAAGGCGAGAAGACGGCATTAATGAGATTTTTTTGTGGCTTTTCTTTAGGCACCTGGCCCGTAATCCATTTATCTGCGACTGTAACCTGCAGTGGCTGACAGAATATCTACATCAGAACCCAATAGAAACCAGTATCGCCCGCTGTGAGGCGCCGGGCCGAATGAAGCGCAAGAAGATCGCCACCGCTAGAGCCGGGAAGTTCAAGTGTAAAGGTATTCCCTGAATTTCTAGTGCTCTCACAAAGATATCACCTGCTTCTTGTGTTTATAAGACCGGAGGATGAGGATTATGTAAACCAGAATGGGGGGTTTGTTTTATCAGTTGCAGAATTCTGTATTATGTTCCATAAACACAGCCTCTTTGTTTTTCCAGGTTCAGAAATGCATAGAACGAAGAACGCAGGCCAGTGCATGATAGACATTGAGTGCCCCAAACAGTGTATCTGTCAAGGAACCGTGGTCGATTGTTCTGGTAGACAACTCATCAAAATACCAGAAAATATACCCATTTATACCACAGAATTGTAAGTTCATAGTACATCTCAACAAAATACCAGAGAATATACCCATTTATACCACAGAACTGTAAGTTCATAGCGCATCTCAACAAAATACCAGAGAATATACCCTTTTATACCACAGAATTGTAAGTTCATAGTACCTGTACATCTCACCAAAATACCAGATAATGTACCCATTTATACCACAGAATTGTAAGTTCACAGTACATTTCATCAAAATACCAGAGAATATATGTAGCATGCATTAATACCACTGAATTGTCAGTTCATTGTATCCATGTTTGAAACATTCTCATGAATGAGAGAAAAAAACCATAAATGGCATGAATTGGAAGCCCTATTTAACAAATTACATTGTTATGAACCACATCAAAATAAGAATGCCTTGTAGTAAAAATACCCCTGTCCCCCTTCCCCATTTGCTCATGAAGATTTTTATCCAGTAAAATATCCATCATTTTTTTTTGGACATACAGACTTCTTGCAGGAGTTTAGGATGGTAAAAGAAAGACATGAGATTTGCTTTTAACAAGTACAAGGTCAAAGAGAAATGTATCGGTTTGAACAAGGTGTGGGGCCAAGATTGACCTTTTAACATAATGAAATGACTATATTCATTGTAATACATGTATGCCCACCCATATTGAGAATTATAAAAGTACACAAAAGTTAGATCATCGATACATTTTTTCCTGCCCATTCATTCTTGCATGTAAGACCTCTGATTTCCGGGGCTGGTCGAGGTGAGCGATTCCGATTGTAGACATTACAGTAAATGTAGGAAGCTGATATGATCCATAACCCACCGATAACAAATAGTCACTTAATGCCAAATGTTATCTATGGAACTTCCTCTATAATTGATAATGGGTAGATCTGTAATTATTCATACTTTGCCAGATTTTTGTCACTGATTTGTATAATCCACGTAGTTTAGTTTATGAAAACAGAAGAATTTTTCGTAAAAAAAATTTCAATAATCTTGTCATGTGAATGTTTACAGAATATTAATTCGTTATTGTATTTTTTTGCTTTTTTATCTTTTCAGAAAACTTCAGAATAATCAAATTGATAAGCTCCAGGCAAATGGCTTATTCAGCAAACTTGTTAATCTACAAGTCTTGTAAGTAGAGTCAAATTGAAAAATTGTGAAAGTATTTTCTTTCCTGTTTAAATTCCCCTCTGTAAATGTACAAGCTCTGAGCAGCTAAAATAAATGGGATTAAATTCTGTCGAGCCTGTCTGAGAACCGATAAGATAGAAATTGACATATTATTTGATGTAATATTGCAAGCCAGAACTATCGGGAGATTTTGTTTGACTTTCATTTATTGTTCTTCACAGCAAGGGAAACGAAACATAATGCATTTATTGAAAACGGTGCTGACATAGTAGAACATTTCACCTAAAATTAGAGTGATCTATATGGCTTTTTAAGACTGTCTATATAAACTTTGGGAGAAAAGAGTTTTGTGGCAAAACAATTTATTTGTTGTCTTTCAGAGATCTGAGTAGTAATCGTCTTCAAGAGATAGAGGCCGGCACGTTTAATGGGGCAAAGAAGCTGATAGATGTGTACGTTCATTTTTTGTTTTTTCGTTTTTATATTTTTTTTGTTTAGCATATGTTTTATAGGCTTTTCATGAAAATCCTTCAAAGTAAATCTGTCACATATTTAATTGTTATTCTTACCTGGGTATGCATCAAAAAGATTATTTTAGTTTATGAAATCAATATATAGTACATGTATTTTTAATAAAGATTCTATGGTGAAATCCATTTGTGCTCTGTATTATCTAGTGGTTAATCAAATGAAGAGAAAAACAATGCTCATCTCTTTCAAAAAAAAAAATTGCTTGCCCTCTCCTGATTCAGAAGAAAAAAATATTGGAGTTGGTACTTTGGAAACTTTTTTAAAATTTAAAAACACTTGTGAATTTGATGTTAGAATAGTTATTAATGGGAGCAGAAAGCTTATAAAATGAATTTAAAAAAAAAAAGTTTTTGTAAAATTAGGAAAAGTTTTGATTCAGAGCATTTTTAGCCAGTTGGTCAGAAGAGGGCAAACAAACAATTTTTTCAAAGATGGTATCCAGTAATAATAAATTATTCTGAACCTTTTTACAGAGATTTTTCCAGTAACAGAATCGGGAAGCTCTCGGGAAAATCTCTTCGTGGTCTGGAAACCGTCAGAACCTTGTAAGTATTATCACTTCAACCTCAGAATGTAAACAAGTAGATTTACTTCAGAAGAAATTATCACATCTTGATGTACAAATTTTTTTCAATAAGCAAGTGAAAGCAAGGCAAAAAAAGATAGGATTTATGTCTGTATTTATGTATTATATAATTGAAGAAGTTCTTTTTCTACTGATAATCAATTTTCTAGATGAAATGCAAGTCATTTCTAAACATCTTTGCATAGAGATATATGCATGCGTTATAAAGGTACAGCCCTCTGGATAAAATTAAATAGATAATTTACAATTAGGATATTCCAAAACCATCAAAAAGAGTTATGCTTTCTGACTCAATGGAACAATTTACTAGAAAAATGATTTATAAAGGTGATATTTTTCTTGTAAGCATTGATAGAATTCCGACAGAACTTTTTTTTGTTACACTGTGAGAGACTGATTAACTATGTAATTGATTTGTGTACATCTGTTCAATGTCTGCTTTTTCAGGATTATCGAGAAAAACCGAATTACCTGTCTGAGCAACACAACATTGAACTCTCTCACAGAACTAAGGCAGCTGTAAGTATCAGCACACAGCAGTTAGGGGGAATTGGGGTTTTGGAGGGGTGTGGTGGGAGTCGAACTCTCTCACAGAACTTAGGCAGCTGTAATCGGCAATCTCACCCTTACTGCTGTAGCACACACTGGAATAAAGAACTCTCTCACAGAATAGGCAGCATCAGCACACAGCAGCAGGGGGGGAGCATACAAAAATTATCAACATCCTAATTCACTACCCATTTTGATCTGAAAGATCATTCATAACAGTATTTCCTTGTTGAGAAAAAAATTAGTGAAAATATCAATGAAAATGTGGTAGAACAAATTTCAACCTTGTAGAACAAAAAATCTCTAGTGTGTCTTATCTTTTAATTAACTTGCTCTCCTGGATTTCTTACAAACTCGCAGTGTGTAGCTCACTCCAGACTTTTATTTTGTCTTAAAGTATATATCTGATTGAAATTCCTGCAGTCACTAATTAGTAACTGCACCTGTTGGATTTTATTGCTTTAATGAGAATCAAAATCAGGTGGCAGTACAGCTGGGTCAACTGATATGTTTTCACCAGAAAACTTATTTAGTCTTAGGATAATTAAGTTACTGAAGAACCTAGTCCCTGTTCTGACAGACTAATGAGGTGGATATAGTAAAGAGAAGCCAGAATTTGATGAATTGAAGAAGACAGCGTCTTGATGACAGATTATCCACATGCCAAATAACATTTACTTTCAGTTCTGTGTGTATCTTTATTGTGTCACCTTTGCCATTACTTCTCTGCCTAATATGATTATAACATGGATGTAGATTTATCTTTTGGGGGGAGGTTAATTGTTTCCAAATTCATAAACACACCTGTTGTTGTTAAATAGACACTGAGTTATGACAAGGGAAGGGAAATATAAATGATGGTCACCATGTATCATTGTAAACATATAAAACACCTCAGCGAGATTCAGACACATGGGAGATCTCATCAACTCCCATTACCCACATGTTAAATTGCCACAGTAAACAGACTGATGAGACAAGCTCCGAGATAAGCAAAATGTTATATCTTTGAAAGCAGGGGAAATGATATACACCAAAAGACTTGAATTTCAATTGATGAGCAGTTCCATAGAGTTTGAAGTTTGCCAGTGATTAAAAAAAGATCTGGGGTCTGGGTAATATCGATGATGCAATTTTAACTTTGTCAACAAAGCACTGACGGGGAATGTATGTTTGAGTTTGCAGCAGAGATGGGGAATTTTGTTTATCTTTTCTAATTTCTCCAAACAACAGAGAAACAGATGATGCATTTCATGCACCTACGGGCTGATTTGATGCAGACAGTAGCATTGTTACAGGGGATTGCAGAAGACAAGCATGTGTAGACCCTGTCACGCTCCTGGGCTCAGCCGCAGCAATTACAAACCAGTCTAGCTGATAACAGACATGCATTAAGATGTTTATTACTGAACAAAGCTTATCCTAAACAACCATCATTGTCACGCATCATTTAGGGCTTGTTGTAGATAATTAGGGGTGTAATATAGAGCAAGGGGGAGGGCCGTGCAGACAAAATTTGATTGAAAGAAAGATTACGTCTTGAAAAATTTATTAAAAGTTGGTATCGCACACTGAGAGGTGGAGGAATAAATTTGTCAGCTGCTCCCTGAGATAAATCTGTAATTTGTAAAAAAAAAATTCAACATGAAACGTGACAGAAAGATAGATAATTTTAGCGTTTATACCTATCTCCTCGTGTTAGAGAAAATGTTGACAGCCTCAAGTCAAAATATTCATTACCATAGTGATGAAAAGGTGAACCCTTGTTTTTTACATCAATGTCTGTTATCAAAGAAGCTTATTTCTTTTCGTCTGGTGTTTAGGTATTCCTAAAACGTATTCTAACTGCTTATTTTAGCAGATGTTTGGTTTGTTGACCTGTACATTGGATTGAATTGAGAACAATCCACCATCTGATAAAATAACATATGAAATTTCTTACGTATAACAATACATGCATCTTCCCAATTCTTTATCATTGCAATTAAAAAAAATTGAATATTAATTTTTGAAGCATATCTTATTTTCTTGTAATCGTACAAATGTACCACATCCCAATTCTGTAATTATTGCTTTAAAAAAAATGAATATGTTAAGAGTCTTTTGTACATAAAATTGATAAAATGATTATTTTTTCGTATTTGCAGGTCCCTCTATGGCAATGAGATTAGATGTATATCAGAAGGCGCATTTGATAAACAAGCCTCTTTGTCTATTTTGTGAGTATTTTTCTATCAAACATACTTGAAAATTGTAATCATTTCAAAAAATTGTACGGCACCAGAAGTCTTGAATGAGCCAACCTTTTCTCCATGTGAATGACTGCATACTGTGTATTATTTCATAATTTTGAAAATTTCGAAATGAATGTACTTATGAACCGCTGGTGTAAGTATGTACGTGAAGTAATACCACACTCCCTGCCTTGTAAAGAAAGGTGTGATAACAATATTGCAACATAAAAAAGAAAGGAGGGAGGATTGGTCATTTAGATAGACAAGAAGTGATCCTATTGCCCCTGTAATTTGTAATCTTGTAACTTTTATCATGGTAGATAGTGCCAACCTTACAAACCTAACATTTGACCAAAGTCTTTTGCTTTCATTCCCATTTCAAATCTTTTTTTCTCTGGAACAGATTCAAGGAAGCATTTTAAAATCTCTTTCCCATGAAAATTAAGGAATTTGCTTTTGTTTTTTCTTTCACAAGTATTTGTAATATTGTGGGAGTGGAATTTTAAATTATGAGTACTAATTTTTTTTCCTAAATTTTTTTTATGTTTCTATAATTTCTAGATTATCAAGTAATATTTATTTCACTGAAGAAAGTTAAAAAGCTTTGAAATGAAGATAATGCCTTGATATCTATTTGTTTGTTTGTACATAAACTTGGTTATTGCTAAAAAAGATTAGATACTCCCAATTTTTAGAGGTGAATTATTTGATTTGAGTTTAAGATCAAGAACTAGATCAAGCTTGTAGGTCATGATTTGAGTTGCACTCAAAAGTCTTGATAGGGTCCCATTCAAAGGTCAAGATCCACTCAAGGGTCAAGTTCAGAGTTACACCCAGAGGTCAAGATCTGCACTGAAAGGGCAAGAATGAGGAATGAATTATTACTTTAGAATTTTTTGGTAACTAATAAATGCTTTTGTATTTGTAGAAACTTGGAGTCTAATCCCTTTAACTGTAACTGCCACATGGCCTGGCTGAGTAGCTGGTTAAAGAAAAACAATGTGATAGCTGGTGTTCCTACCTGCTTCCTCCCCTCTCGTCACAAGAATGTCCCCGTACTGACCATTAAAGAGGAGGAATTCACATGTCCAAGTAAGTTAGCGTACTGACCATTAAAAAGGAAGAATTCATCTGCCCAAGTAAGTTAGTGTTCTGAGCATTAAAGAGGAAGAATTCATCTGGCCTAGTAAGTTAGTGTACAAAGTACGCAGAATTCGGCTGATGGTACTCTTAAACATTCCTGACTCTGAAAGTAAATTTATGTGATAAATAATGGCCCTGCTTAAAAGGAAAAAGTTGTTGAATTTTATTGGGATTAGATTAAGTCCCTCTTCTGTCTACTGGTATTTTATCTCGTAGGCTATGCATCATGAAAATTTTTTTGGCCCTTTTGTTGGGAAAAAGAGTGAAGAATGCCTTGTAACTTCAAAGGAGGTACATTATGGCAACGTAGGGTCTTCGATAAAGTGGCAGCATACTTAGAAATATGATAAGGCATTTAGGCAGAATGAATTTACTGCATCGAAGGGTTTTTTTTTCTTTTATAAAATTCCACTCAGCAGTTTTTGTCCTCTTGGAAAATATTGGTGTAATGAGTAATAAATTATCTAAAATATTGACAAAAAATTTATCATTAAGTTATATTTTTATCCTAAATTTGTTATAAAGCATGTAGCTGAAAATAGATTGGTATATGGAAATCTGTAGATTTAGGACATTAAGTGACTGACATGCACTTTGATTTTACAGCTGATGTAGATATTGGATGTAACACTGGAATCTCCCCCTGCTGTTCAGAAACCGTAAACAGTGAGTGTTTTTTTGTGTGTTAGCCTGTCGCAGTTATCTCCCTTTCAAAGCATTCTGAAAATAATTGAATGATCATATTATTAATTGGATTATCATGTTATAACATTTTTTTGATACAAGAAAATGACAAAAAAGAAACACTAGATTTTATAGCGCGAAGTTTATTACTCTCTTTCCTTTCTTCACAACATTTTTTCCTCCTTTGATCATGCATCGTATACTATTGAGTGAGACATTTATTGACTAAGTGACTGATGATCCTTTTTTAGCAGCGGTAGGAAGCTGTGACCCCCGGGCCTACTGCCCCCCTCGGTGTACCTGTACGGGAACCGTGGTCAGGTGTAGCCGCCAGGGTCTTAATGTGGTCCCCCCACTCATCCCAGAGGACACCACCGAACTGTAAGATTTTGTTAACAATATTTATCTGTTGTTAATTTCATTTTGATTTGTGTTTCAACCTGACTTTGATGTGTTATTCTCTGTTGTTCTTTTTTTTAAGGTATTTAGATGTAAATAATATAAAGCACCTCCCTGCAGAAATTGGTCGCCTCACAAAGCTACAGAGATTGTAAGTTTGTAAAAGATAAAAAAAAATTTAATACCTCTGCTTTGATGTCTATTTGATTAATGTGAAGTCTGATAATACCTAAGGTAATTATTTTCTATTTTACAGAGACCTCAGTAATAATAATTTGGTGACCCTTCCTGATCATATATTCTCTAACTTCACTAATTTAGCTACATTGTAAGTATAGACAGAGTATTTAAAAAAAATGTTCATGAAAACTCCACATAAATATTTGTATTGACTGTATTCTATAAATTCATTTCTTTTTCTCTCTCAGAATTTTAAGTTATAATCAACTAGAATGTATGGCACCCACAAGTTTTTCTGGACTCCATAAACTAAGAATTTTGTAAGTATACTCTTTACTTTATGTTTAATTTGTCATTTCTTTCCAATTGTTAATAAATTAGTTTTTTTTTTTTTTGTATGTATATATAATTCCAATTCTCCAATTTTCCTGCAGATCTTTACACGGTAATAATATTTCCTCAATACCATATGGAACTTTCAAGGACCTAACTTCTTTAACACATTTGTAAGTGGAATTATTTTTTCAGTCTTGTAATTAAAATATACTGATTTATCACTTGTAGATACACGTGTATATTTGCATATCCACTGCTCTCTCCCACTTTGAACATGTATTCATCAACTGCATTCATAGGTCTATAGACGCAATTGCTTCCACTATGTGTGCAATTGCTCTATCACACTCGTGTAGAACAATCTCTACTACACTACTAATGGGGGTTGAGAAGTATATATATGAAATGTTTCATAAGAGGAATAAAAATAAGTTTTTAATAATATTCTTTGAAAAAAAAAAGGAAATTCAGAATATTTAAAATTGCTGATTTATATCTTTAAAAATTCAAATTTGGTCGATGTATTTAATTGTATAATAAAACTTTTAAAAATCTTAGAGAACTGCTATATTTTTATTTTTTCGTATCATGCATATTTGTACAAAGAACGATAACTCTTCACACTTGGGTAATATCATTCAAAAAGAGAAAATTTCTTTATTAAACTAGTATATCTATTTCAAGAATGATTTCAGATATTAAAAATAAATAGAAAAACTAAAAAAAAAATTATAGAAAAGCATTCTGGAGTAATAATCATTATAAAAGCATTCTCATTTTTCATCATAGTGTTAAATTATTGATTTTTGTCAGAGGGTTTTAATAACGTTGATCGATGACGTCACAACTGCATCAAAACAAAAATGTGATGACAGCGCTGCTTGTATCCAGATAACTGTGTTTGAGAGGGAAATACTTTATAAATTGTTTGTGATTTATTAGAGAAAAGGAGCATTAATCAGGTTTACTGATTTTAAAGCCGTATGTTTTTCTTAACTGAAGACAAGAAGCTGCGTCCTTATGTAAGTCAGGATTTCCTCTGATACTCTTGAAAACAAATCAAAGAATGCAAATATAAGTAACAAACAACGATTATTCAGTGAACATGGCATTATGAATAGCAATAGCTCTGCTGGCATATTTTCCATGATGCGCTAGCGCGCATCATGGAATATGCCAGCAGAGCAATTGCTATTCATAACGCCATGTTCACTGAATAACGTTGTTTATTTCTTAAATAATCACTTACTTTTTAAAAACATTTATGATACAGGATAGGATTCTGATGTTTGTTAATGCATTACATTTGAGTGCTTTAATATTCTGTTTATCAAGTTTCAAAGAAAGCAATTAACATACACAAAATATAGCACATTCGCTAAGTCTTATGCATGCATATTTATGTAAAGATCGACTACCAGAAAGTATGCTAACTTGTTGCAAAATCAATCTTCTTTAAATATAGTACTTGCCATATGAATTACATAACAAGTAATATCATTTTTTTTTTTTTCATTACATCAGGGCCCTGGGAGGAAACCAGTTGTACTGTGACTGTAACCTTAAATGGCTGTCTGACTGGATAAAGAAGGATTACGTAGAATCGGGAATTGCTTCCTGTGTGGGCCCCAGCTCTATGTTAAACAAACTGCTGCTGACCACTCAGTCCTCTCTCTTCCTGTGTAATGGTAAGACAAAAGATGATGCTAATGATCTTTTTTCGTAAAATTTTTATTTTGGCAACAAAAACGAAACTTAGAAAGAGTACATATATGTACTCTTCTGTTAGATAATAAATGATTATTTTTTGCTTAAAAGTGTTTTTTGTTCATTAATGATAGCCATTATTCATGCAAAAATTAATAAGTTTCATGTATCAATTGTAGACCCTTACGACAGGCCTGTCCTTTTAGACCCGGGGTTGGGGAATTTTTCCACATATAATGACATAATTAACCTCCCAGTTATTCTGATATTTTCCCTTGTTAGCGGAGGAACCCCATTCTTTATTTCAATGCCCCTGCTATTTCAATTCTTAGGGACAACCCCAGTTATGGAGATTATTTGAACTATGGATTAAAATTTATACTATTGTAGGACCACCTGACCCTGAGGTGATTGGGAAGTGTAACGCGTGTCAGAGACAGCCGTGTCTTAACGGAGCCACATGTAAGAGTGTGGACTTCAAGAACTACACGTGTGAATGTCCAGCGGGTTACCATGGGGACAAGTGTGAGAACGAGATCAACGCGTGTTTTATAAACCCCTGTCTCAATGGCGTGTGTGAAGTATTGGATCATGGAAGATTCAGGTAAAATTTCAGGAGATTTAAGTTTATTAAATATTTCTCTCTTTTCCGTAAAAAAACCTACTATTATGAATTTTAGGACAGTGTGTATGTTCATGCTGCAATATTTCATAGAATCTTTATAATTGCAGGTGTAAATGTAACAACGGGTTTCGAGGTGACCGATGTGAAATTAACATTGATGATTGTGCAGGCCACGCTTGTATGAATAATGGTTCCTGTATAGATCTAGTGGAGGGGTATACCTGCTCTTGTGCTCAGGGCTACACAGGTAAGGAAAACTTGCTTCACAAAGAAAATCTTGGTACCAGATTCAAAACAGTCTAAAAAATAACAGCTTGGGCCAGAATTAAAAATATCTTTGTTTCCCCTAACCCGACCCTAAATTCTCAAGTTGGGTCGGTAGGTAGGTAAACAATTTTATTTTCTGACAGCAGCTTTAAAAATACATTCTAAAGTTTGATGGAAAATTACCTTTATAAATAAGAAAAGTACAAAAGAAAGCGATGTCTGAACAAAATGCTAAGTATTGTACATATGCTGTTTAAAAGCAAATTCATGATTAATTAATTCACAACTGTTATTTAGTTAAATTTGTGAAATATCTCACGCCATTACATCTATATAAATTGAATAAAATAGACAATAGTCTCAAATACGCAAAGACCAGACATACGAGTATATTTTTTCAAACCCTCCATCAGCCTTCAGAGCTTATAGACGATCAATGTACTTTTTTGAGGGCCATGAGATTTGCAGTGGTTCTTGAGCATTTTGCTTTGAAGTTAAGAAGTAAGTGGCTAATTTTAAATCACAGGTTTCAAATCACAATGAATGACGTTGAAAACGGTCCTTCAGAGGGGACCATAAAAACTGATGTCCAGTGTCGCAGAAGATGCTGGCTCAAAAAAGATCCCCCACTGCTTAATGGCAAAAAAAGTGCTGAGTATGTCTAAATTTGGAGCAATGGGGAAATGTTTAAATGTCGTCCTAACAAATCTCAAAGGGATTAAAAGCAAAGAAACAACCAATCTTCAAGAGCCTAATTAAAGAAAAATACACTGAACGTCTCAGGAAGCTGAACCATGATTTCAAAACTATTTGGAAAGAGTATGTTAACAATACATGTATTTAAATGAACCAAACCAAATCTACAAATGATAAAAATGCTATATACAATGTCATAGTCACGAAGTTTAACCACTAAATAAAGGCATGAAGAAAGAACATCTGAATTATATTTATCAAGATGAATATGCAGGTCTACATGTGTACAACAAGTCATATGGTTCCATAACGGCATATAGTAATCATAGGAACATAGATGAATTGGTTATTAGATCAAAACTCAAATTGAATAAAATGCAGTGAAATTGAATGATGTGTTATAGGTGGGGCCCTCATCAACTCATGAGGCGGGCCTTACGATGTACTAGTATTAAGCGTATGACTGTACCGACACCTCCGAAACACTCTTAATTAGTCATGGTAAATTTTATTTACGAATTGTTTCAAGAGTGAAGAATTCCAGTTAGCTAAATACATAAGATTGAGACGTCGCCATTGTTATATGAAGAGTTGATGCCCTGTAATCACATCTGGATGTCATTTTGTTTCCAACAAATGCTTGAAAATCACAGTAGAACAATGTCGGCCGTTCTGATTAAAACTGATTTTGATGAAATTGTATTTTATAAAACTTGGTTAACAATAAAAAAAATATTTGAATCATCTCGTTTAAAAAATCTTTTCAGTCGGTGCGATTTAATTGGGTCGGTCGCGTTAGGGGAAACAAAGGTATTTTTTATTTTGGCCTTGAGGTTCTCTCTTCATACACCATAGATTATCAATTAATATAACTATCTGTGATTTCTGTTTTCAAAAAAAAAAAAAAATCAAAACAGATGCTGTCTTGATGATAAATTTCTCATGCAAAATTTGTCAGTGATAAAGTAGCCCAATAATGATTTGTTATCAAATCTTAATTGCATGTTTGGAATCTAAATGAGTTATCACTCTTAAATGTTTAAACTTTTTGCAGGCAAGATGTGTCAGCAAAAAATCCGATATTGCCATGGAAATTACAACTTTTGTCTGAACGGGGGTACCTGTGTTAATCAAGACACAGATTACAGGTAGGCCAGACGAGGATGTATGATAAATTAGCAGGCAAATATATTGTTTACAAGCTCTGATAGGAGTACAATATCTTCGTGGTCAGAATAGATGTGCTAATGCGTCTGGCTTCTTTATCTCGATTATGTAATTTGGCATTGACTGGCAATTATTTTTTTAATGAAAATATCTTTATCATTATCTGAGTTTATTCACCTACGTACTGCAGAGTATAATGTACAGCTCTCTTAATAGACGGCTAAGACAAAAGTTTAAAAGTTAACAGCTAAAGTTATCTGTAAATTTTAAAAAAGTTAAGGCTAAATGTGTCAGTTTGTGTATTTTTACTACAAAATGATAAGTTTATCTGCACACAAATTATACAAATTGGATTCTCCTATGCTATATTTCATATCTAATATTTTTCTGCACTCTTGAAATATCAAGATAAGAAAATTCTTTCAAATTCTTTGCTGATATAAAAAGCAAAAATCTGAATAGAAAAAAGAAAATAATGTGAGCTATTTTTATGTCTTTTGGATATATTCAATGTTTTTTCTTCTATTTATAATGTACTTGTTTTTCATATTAAGTGCTCTAGGGTAATTGTAGGTTTAGAGAAAGGTGTTTTATTAAAGTAGTACAATGTATAATAATATTAATTTTAAAAGTAAATAACAATACAGTTAAACTTTGTAATCACGAACCTGATGGGACTGAGAAAAAACTTTGAGATATCTAAAGATTCGAGATATCGAAGGTAAAATACTTGAAGAATATGTGGCTGGAACCTCCAGTTTACTTTTACATATCCCTTGTATTTGAGATATCGGAGTTTGAGATACCAAAGTTCAACTGTAATAACATTTTATTTTGTCATAAACTTTCAGCTGCAAGTGTGCCACAGGTTACGGGGGGAAGAACTGCTCGGAGAACCTTGACGACTGTAAGTCCCACATTTGTCAGAACGGGGGTCGGTGTGTGGACGGCCTGGGGACCTACTCCTGCTACTGTCCCCGAGGCTACTCCGGACGATTCTGTGAAATCGCCCCCCTCGCTGTTAACAATCTCTTCTCTTATAACAGTCTCTGCAAATCTCACGCCTGTCAAAATAATGGAGTGTGTTACGTACCCAAGGGTGGATCACACTACATGTGCCAGTGTGCTCCAGGTACTAACTTCTTCTCTCTCCCTCTTTATTATCTTTTCTCATCCTTATATTTTACAAAATATTGTTACGACTTTGCTATCAAATATACACAACAGTTATATATACTTCTATTGCATGGCATGTTTTCAATTAAGATACCTTTAATATTATCAAACAGATACACCTCTGGATTTTTTCTTGAATTGCATGCAAATATATGACTATATATATATATCCATATATTAAACATTTACAAAAATTGAATCTGTATCCACGTACTGAAATATGCTTATAAATGTATAATGGATAACAACATGAAGATCAATGAATTGAATTTATATAAGAGATATCTTTTAACTGAGTTTGAAAGAATAATGCAACATTTTGCAGGTTTCTCTGGTAAGAAGTGTGAGAAGCTAACCAGTGTGTCGTTTATTGCTGAGGACTCCTACATACAGATGCCTCAGATTGACTTTCAGTCCACAGTTAATATCACCATGGAAATGAAAACTGAGTCCGACTCTGGTGTTATATTCTATATTGGAGCCGATCAACATTTAGCTGTAGAATTATTCCGGGGTAGGATTGGAATCAGTTTCTTCACCGGAAAGTCACCCCTCTCCACAATGTACAGTTACATATTTAGTTACATAACGGTTAATGATGACAGCCTACATACCATAGAACTTATCGTCCATCACCGTAACTTCACCATGCGAGTGGATGGGGGTGTGTCTCGGTCAGTCGTTAACATGGGGGAGAGTGAATATCTTAATGTTAAGGATGATATGTTTATTGGTGGACTTTCATCAGACAAAAGTAAAGAGGCTCTTAAAAAATTCCAGATTAGGAGTCAGTCCAGTTTCAAAGGTAAGAGATGATTTCAAAGATATGTTTTGTACATACCCAATAAAGTAAACTGTTCATTAATACTATTGTTTGAGAATGTATATAAATTGCTGAATATTTATTGTAAGTTATCCGTTTTGTCCCCTCACACTGAAAATGATTGCATTGGGATCAGTTTTGAATACTGCCTTGATGTATAGATATGATCTTTGCTCATTTTGAGTCATCTTTTCTTTCAGTTTGTTTTCATGAAATTTTTACTCTTTTTTTACAGGTTGCTTCCATGGTTTTTACATAAATGGAAAACAACAGGACTTCAGTTCATCTAAATATAACCATAAGGTCATGCCGGGGTGTAAAGTGGATCCCTGTGCTAATAATAAATGTAAAAATGGTCAGTGTAAACCCAGGAAAAAGAAGGGAGGCTATCGATGTAAATGTAGGAGAGGGTACTCAGGCAAATACTGTAACCTCGGTAAGTTTTGGATATCAGTGTCACTTTAATCTTTAAGATTTCTGTGTAATATTTCATATCATGTCAAATCTTTGTGTGTTCATTTAATCAGAATTTGATGTCTTAAATTTGTAAAGTGGACAAAAATTTTGAATAATTTCTGAGGGTTCAATATTTTGAAGTTGAAATTTAAGTTTTGTGGAATATATTTCATTGCACTTATATATAACTTTCCTATTACTAGTTGTCTGAAAATTACACTTTTCTTCTAACTTAAAGTATCTTTTTTATTTTCATTTTTAGTTCCAACATGTAAACCAAAAGTATTCCGTAGCAGATATACTCATCCAGTCACAAAGTGTGCTTCAAAAACGCGCATAAAATTCCGGAGCTGTGAAGGATCGTGTGGAAAAGACTGCTGTAAACCTCGCAAAATAAAAACACGTAAAGTCAGACTTTACTGTAAAGACGGATATTCATATATTCATAACCTCGCAGTTATCCGAAAATGTGGCTGTAAAAAGTGCCAGTAGTATCATTACACATTGAAGACTTCATAATATTGTCGCGTACGTAATGTAACAATTGTCTAATGTCATACAGTGGTTGGAGAATCAGTGTAAATGTGGAGTCCAGTGTATTTCAATATGAAGAGAACTGCCACATCAGGCATATTATACATGTACAAAAATGGATGTCTGCCAGTTTGGACAGATAAATTTTTTGTTCGGTGTTACACTTTTGACATTCAAAGTGTGTTCAGAGGTTCCAAATCCAACTCCAAGGTTTGGCAAAAAAGTGTGAGGTTTACTCATTTTTTCCCATTTTAATGGGAAATGCAGGGAAATGGTTCTTCCGACAATTATCCCAAATGAATTCACTTCTGAGAACATTCAGGCCAGCTATGTGTGTACCTGGATGGAAGGAGTGAAAAGTGACATGAGAATGAAGTAATTATGGTTCACATCATACAATAAACCTTATATCACAAAGGTTGTGACAAACTTGTGAACAACTCAATACATTATAGCACATGCAGAAACGTGTTTTTCTGTTCCAAACCAAGAGTCTTGTATATTTAGTGCATGTACAGCATTCTATGTAAATTGTTTGCACTTCAGAGTCAAATGTTTCAGTATATATGTGATGTTATTTTGAATGGCAAATATTTATTTGAAACATGTTTTAGATACATTGACAAACATATCTTTTTTGTAATATATTGTCATGTTATCAGGTTTATTAGGGTTTAATTAAAGAGCTGAAACGTATCTGCAATAAAGCTCTAATTTGCTTTATTGCACCAATTTTGCCGGTTGCTAAGGCTACAAATTATAACAAAAATGATGAGGGAAATATAACTTTTATGCAATACTTTTGATGGAAGGTATGATCTGTATTGTATTGTATTTGTCATGTGATGTTGTTTTTAGATTGTAGCTTGTAATCTTTATTTAAAATGGAAAAAAATTAAAATACAGTATTTTACCAAATAGGTTATTATCCATGTTGCTTCAAAAACTGCTTTTCTAGAATCTATTCTCTATAATACAACAAATAAAGCCCCCAAGAAGAATTCATTATACATTACTTTTATAGTAAGTTTTTTTTTTACTTCAGTATAAATATATCTTTTTTTATTTTTATGAAGATTTTTATATAAACATAAATTATTTTTGCAATTGTTGAATAATATTTGGATTAAAGATTAAAATATTCTTCACTGATAAGAAATAACAAGGAGAGGTGATAAATGTAGCGTGGTTGCCTTTTGGGGACAAGTATGGTTTTAATAGAATTGTGAATATTGTCATATGGATACAAATTGTTCTTCAAATGATGAGTTTTGGTAAACTAGACCATTATTATTTGCAAGCACTGCCCATTATGTTTGTCTGCTGTTGTGATTTTGTCTTCAATATGACAACTCATTTATAACTTGATGAGGAAAGAAATTGTTTTGGGGTTTTCACGATTTAACAATTCAGGCACTGGTCTGATGTAGCTCTAGTTTGCCGTGATTTTTTTTTTACCATATTGGTGATTGTTTGGAATTGTCAAATTAATAAGACGAAGTACTTTTTAAAAAAAGACTAAATCTGATAAAATGTTAAGGCGGATCAACTTGTTTGACTTTTTCCTTATGAGAGAGAAAAATTTTGCCCTTGTAAGACTACCTCAGCTGTATTGGGTTTTTGTTATGTAGAAAATTAATATGTATTTAAAGTGAAACTAAACAAGTGTACATTCATTTTTTATCCCCTCCATCTCTTTCATTATTTTCTGTTAATCCCATTGCTTTATTTAAGATATGCATTTTCTCACCAACACATTATAACAATACTGTATTTATCAGAGGCAATTTTGTTTTTTCAAATTTTGTTTAAATTTATTTTGCAAATTTATATTGAGAATACATTTCATTGCAAAAAGAAAGATTTTGTACAATGAAAGAGTAATACAAACTGTGTAACTTTGTTACTTATTGTTGAACATGGCTGAAAAAATAAAAGTCATTTTCAACTGGTGGAATTATTGTCTTTGAGGTATAAGTGCAGTATAAATAATCGAGGGTTCCAATGACCATGAAGCTACTTCAAATTTTTATCCACACGGCTCCCCATGAGCAAAGAGAGGTAACTGGAGAAAAGCAAAAATAAAGTTTCTTTAAGGAAGCTCTAAACACTGCTCACAAAAGAGTTCTTCTTTAACAATACTAGTAGTTTTAAGCAGTTGGAGTGATCTACCCTTTGATATCAAGTTGAAATCGACAGTAAGTGAAAAAATAAGACCAAGAAAAGTATTCACTATCAGAAACAAAAACAAAAAGATAATTTAACACCCAAGCTTAGATAGCTGGACAGGTGAGACTCGTCACAGCGTGGCAGGGGGAGTCATTCACGGGTACTGTATGCACACAAGGAGGACAATTAGATCAGACCACATGTTAATAAAACAAATTATAAGCCTTCTACATCTAATGACTTCATAATCTACACATCTGTCTTAAAATATAATATAAACACTTGGTATATGTAGCAATGGCAAGTCATTTATTGTATCCCAACCACAGAATCAACTAGATAAGTACAATGCAAGTTCACTTTATTGTCAGTGAAAACTCTTGGTCAGTACGCAACAGATGCACCTCCTTGTAAGTGGGTCTATGACAAAGGTGTGACAGTGGACATAAACTAGGACATCTTGACTAAAGCTCAATACTTCAATACTTTAACAAGTCCTTCCTTATATCCCACCCACAGTGTAGACTTGTATAGGGACAGTAAGAATGGATGATTCACTTCATTCTCTGTCAGCAAGAACTTCAGGAACTCCCCGTCAGGACTTTGTCAGGTTCATACGACCAGAGTCAGACATAATCACTAGTTCACCTTTAGTGTGACTTGTAAGGTTCACAACACAGATATCACGGTTTCTGTTCTGTGTGATCCTGACTGGCAATGTAAACAGTCTGGTCTGACCGTTCACACGGTACTTATACTCGTGGATGACGTCACCTGTCACTGTGATATGTCTCACCAGACATCTGCTGTAAGGACCTGATTCATTGTCTCTCAAGGTGACCAGTAGTCCTCCGTCCACTGACTGACAGATTCCTCCTGGGAGCAGTGGATCTGTACTGATGACTGTAGACACAGATCCTGATGGTGTCAGACGGCCAATGCAATTGTTACGGAAGTCCGAGAAATATAGATCACTGTGAACAGTTACACATATGTCACAAGAATTGATGTCATGTTTTTGTTTTTTCTCACCTTCTCTGTTTACTTGTTCAAGGAAGTCTGATTTTGCTTGTTTTATGAAACATTGGTCTTCACAGAAGGCCCTCAACAAAAGTACTGCTTTCTCTCCATATATAAATGTACTTCTTTCAGTCAAACTGATATCATCTAAATCAAAATACTTTCCAACTACGTTTTCCAGTACCGCGTCACTGACTACTCCCTTACTGTATCTCACTGATGGTTTGCTATTCTTTATATCAACATCCATATAAGACACCAATTGTTTTAGTTCTCTGTGGTTGTCAATGAAGCCGTAATCTGACATGGTACTGCTGTTTTCCTCCATGAACTTAACTATTTCTGCAATTTCTTTCTTCTTTTTGTTTAACTCAGATTTTGTAGCATCCAACTTTTCATTGCTTTTCTTCAAATTCTCTTTCAATTTTTCTTCATTATGCTTCTTGATTTTTGACAGTCTCTTTACTATCTCATCATAATGCTTCTGTAGCTTTTTAACTTCAGAGTCACACAATTTTTTATTTTCTGTGATTTTTTGTGGAATCTTTTCTATCTTCTCATTAATACCTGACAATTCCTCTTCCATTATCTTTCTCAAAATTTCAAGTAGGCCTCGCCTTCTTTGGATGGCTGCCGTTGGTAGAGTGTTCCAGTCATGATCTCTGTGATTGGGTTTGGCACAAATAAATTATCACATTCCTCACACAGCATATCAATAGGTAACTCATGCGATCCACACATTTTAATGTGCTCTTGAGGAGACCCAAGGGGATATTTTGGTTTACTTGCAGCCATATTTATTGAATGAAATCCATCTACGTATATGTACAGGGTGTTTCATAATATATATGTTACATTATGAATAATTTATTTGACAGATAAAAGAAAAAGATACACATATTGTTATTTTTTTCTTTTATCGAATTAATGCATATATCCATAAGATGCATAATGTACAATTATCAATCAAAATAATCAACAATGAACAAAACTTTTAATATTAAGGAAAACCAGCGAAATTTCCAAGTTGCGCCATTTTGCTACGTTGAATTAGACACCAACAATCCAAATTACATGTTCCAAATAATCTCCATTAATTTAACAACTAACGTTTTTTCTTGAGGTTTGTATAAAACCTTGTCACAATATTTTTCTTAGACACTCCTCATTTGAAGGTCCATGTTCCTTTTAAGCTTATTCAGTATCTGTGGTCTAGGATTGTAGACCATGTTCCTTAAGACCCCCCTCCCCCCCGAAAAGAGTCCAAAAATTGAGATTGTCGAATGCAGAGGTCAATTCTTTTAGGTAAAAAAAATAAATCTCAATATCGTCCAAATAAATTCAAAGTTTCTAACACTAAATCTATCACACCAGAAAGTGCTCATAAATAATTGAACTACAGTAATAAATATGCATTATAATTCTACAAGAAAAGCACCTGATAAAGCGGTTGGCTAGTACAATGCAATATACATGAAACCATAGTAATGATTATAATAAATCAAATAATTAATATAACTTCTGTCGAAACTCCCCTATTGAACTATTACTCAACGGATGGATCTGTGTGTTAGGTGGATTTGTAACAAGGATATAACAGTGGACATACACTAGGGCATCCGGTTTATTGCTCAATGTCGGAATGTAGACCCTATACATTCTACACCCTGAACTCAAACACTTTGATAAGTCCTTTCCAGTATCTTACCTATAGTGTAGACTTGTTCATTGATAATCTGATCAGACGCTAAACTTCTTTGCAGTCAAACTTTCATTAGCTGTAACTGTTTCAGTCAAAGTACTACTTTATCCTTATATTGGAGTTGAGCCATGTAACCGACACGTACAAGAGAGCAGTAACCGAAATGCATTATAAGGTGGGTTTCCATTTCTTTTTATAGTAACAGATGTTTTAAAATATAGCCTCAAGTGAGCTTTTATGATCATTTGTGCCTTGTCAGTCGTTGTCATTCTCATTGTAAACTTTTTATATTTTCATCTTCTTATTAAGAACCACTGAGTTAATTTCAATTTAACTTGCCGAAAAGTATCCTTGAATGAAGAAATAATACCTTTTCTCTGTTCGATTTTTTACTAAGCTAATAATTTATATTTCTGACCAACATTAGTTTGTTTAAACGCCGATTAATAGCAAAGCTATTTCTGTAACTAAAGTTACTACCCGTCCTCTCATAAAGACAAGTTAATTTTTAGTAGTAGTAGTATTTAAAAACGTAACGAGGAACTTTTTTCAAACACTGATACAAATATATTACAGCTTATTGCCATGAAAATCAAGTCTTTAAAAGGAGATTCTCTAGGGTCATAATAGCTGCAGTTCTGTAGCTCTCTGAAAAAAATTCGGACAGATAAAGCAGAGAGCTACAGATCCAAGCGTTGTAAAAACCTTCGATTTACGCCGACGATTTTTCGTCGCTTCTGTAGGCATTTCTTTCGAGTAGTTTAAACTTTCTCTTGCTCTTAGAATGGTAACCTATATGTGAGGGTGTGGGTTATACACCCTGATGAACTTACAAAAATCAAAAGAAGAACTTTTAAATTTTAACAAAATTTAATAAC